CTCTTTTAGCTTCCTAGTGCGTAGGTGTTATCATGCTTCTTTAAGGAACTTCTACTTCAAGCCAGCTATTCACTCTCGGATACAACGCTGCAAGCATATGATGTCTACGGCAAGATCCACACAGTTAAACTGCAATATGTTTTGTACAAGGAGAAAGTTGGCATCCGGCCAGGTTTGTTGCTTTTTGCATAAAAATAGAAAATACTAATGTGAAAATCTCTCCAATTCTGTCGAAGAAAATAGATGTTCTTGTCTTCCAAATCCCTGACGGTAGCTTCAGGGTAAATTTGTTCTTTAGACCAAGTGAAACCAAAACGAACTGGCTGGCAGGACCAAGTTACATCGAACGATTCGCAAAGCCCTTAAAATTTCTTGGAAATTCTGAAAACTGCCTAACAAATGAGGGTTTTTGACTTGTTAAAGGTCAGAGAGTAAGGGTCGTAAGGTCGGCTAGAATGTGTCACGTAGCAGGTTGCCAGTAGGAGGGGCTGTCCGATTTCAAAATTATCTTCAACGTCAGAATCAACTCTGCTCCCGAATCGATTCGTATACCACACCTTAGAACAGATTGCGTTCGTGACATGCTTGACCCCGGGTACGAATACCAAGTACTGACCTCAACGCTGAACCAGGTAATTACATTTCCAACCCGTCATTACTCAAAATTGGACCATTGAAACTTAAACCCATCCGCCTTTCAATATGAGAGATGTTAAGAGGTGTCTTTAGGGCAGATTACTCGTCTTGTGGACGGTCATATCACTAAGTACGGACTACCGCTAGAGCACACCGCCCAATGTACGGTCCTGCTCAAGTTCGGTTCACTCACGTACGGTGAACTGCAGTCGTTTGTGGCCACTATCGAGGACGTGCTATTCAAGTGTCCTGCCAAACGAGACACCAAACCTGTCTATAAGCAAGACGAAGTTCCAGGTAAAATTTGCCTAGGCGTTGTCAGTCAGGGAGGATCATGGTCATGTGCATGACTTTGCAGATTCATTGCTACGACGAGTATTCCGCCTATGTCGACAAAGAAGGGGTGCTTTCGGATCAGAAAGCCAGGGTGCGGCTGTTCTGCCTCGCTTTTGTAAGCGGCTCTCCGTTCTTGGAAATTGGATTGAACGATAGGAGAAGGCAAGGAAAGGTGAGCTGATTAAGTGAGTATCCATCTGAAAACGTGCTACCAAATCTCTTTAGGAAATTGTGCGGCGAAAAGATATCCTACCGATGTACACGGAACGATGGATCCGATTTGAAGATGTGGAATTCCACTCTACAGTAGATAAAGCAGCTTTTGAAAGTGAACAAGTGATCCGACTCAGTCGCACCTGATGGATGCTTCTTCGAGGTAGGACTAAATCTTGAATTTCCGTTTTTTAGATCTGAAAGCTCAGTTTTGAAAGTACTGACGTCATTTTCAGGTCATGCGATTCCGCATTCGTCCACCAAGGAATAGGGAGAAAGCCCTGACCATCAAGTCTGTAATGAAGATTGCAGGATCAAAAGTAAGCTGCCGTGAAATGTTTTTCCTCTATGGAACGTTCGAAAATTTGTTTTTGTTGTTTTTGTTTATCGCATGCTCCATGGTTTCAAAAATACCGACCTAAACTTCCTCTACAAAAAGTTGTGTTATTCTACATGAAAAACATGTGGGCGGGTTATCTGGGGAAGGTGCTGTCTGGGGCGGCGCATGAAGGGTGCCCGGTTCGGCGAGCTCAAATTGGGCATGTTTGGAATGGTCGAAGCCAAAATTCACATTATAAATTTATTTCAAAATACCATGGACGTTTTCCTTAATGGAGAGCCTTTGTTGCGAAAATACTGGCTACAGGTATGTCCTAGGCGAACGTATGAACCGGGTCACTTGAATCAGAACTCATCTGACCCGGCCCTTTCACGGACGGCAAGGAAGGGTTGGAACGGACTGGGTTCAGCGCTATGCTATTACATGGTTGCAGTGATATATTGTATTATTGGCATTAGCGGTATTTGGAGCAAGTCTGGAAGCTCCAACCTAAAACGCGAAAATTTTATCGTCATGGGGAATTGAACCTTGGCCCATTTCTTCGCTACTTTCCAGCTTTCAGGGGCCGATCAACAAAAATGAGGCTTGTAGCCTTTTGTAGCCGACGTGTTCCTAGCAAGAAACCTGTGTGCGCTCTGGACAACCTACCTTATTAGTGGTTCGCCCTTATGACCAGAGAACAATGTGTTTTTGAAATGAATACGGCTTTGTTTTACCAGTCCATGGTTTCAAGGGCATCGCTGCAATATTTTCGCTACAACGAGGCTTGGTTTGCCGTGGTATTTTCTGAATTTCAATGCTACCGTTTCCAGGTGGAAATCCGTATCGAGGCGATGGCAGCTGCACAAATTGAGAAGAGTCGAGGAGGAAAAAGTACACGAAGACAAATTCCGTGTGAAGACATCGCTATCCGATTTCCCATCCCAGAAGCCTGGATCTACATCTTCAGGTGAGTTTGATGAATATTGCATACCTCCACTCGAAACAAAAACGGCAATGTTCCAGGGAAGAGCGACATTGGGGTGTTGGATCTGTTCACTCAAAGAAATTGCGGCCAGGAAAAGTCAAGGTGAGGTCCACAGCTACGTGCCTAGTTAAGAGATAAACTAGGCTCCTAGGTGGAAGATATCTGGCGTGTTACACGGGGAAAATTGCTCCCGAGCGAATTAACAAGATACCACCCTTGTCGCTTTCGTTTTCGCTACACCTCCGTATAGCTGTCCTATTCGCAGAT